AGCTTATGACTATATGTTGTCCCTAAAACTAACCACGCGGTTGATGCGTTGCTGGGGGAGAAGCATTATTGTGGATGTCCACCCGCAACAAGTGTCAATTCTGGTGGGCGTGACGGCACGACCAGGTGCAGGCTCATGCCGCACCGGTTGGGGTCCGAGTCAGCTGTAACTTTTGGACCAGGGAGTGTGATGGCACGCCTTGGTGCGGGCTCGATCGCGCCATCCGCCTGCGCCCTTCCCCGCCTCCGGTATTCATCACGAAAACAAGTGTGTCCTATCCCAAAAATTCATAAACCAAGTGTCGCAATACGGACAATCGTTGCCCTCAAAACCTGCTCCACCTGTAATTTGGCAAAGTGGATGCATTCACAACTGAAGTTCCTCCAAGGCAATTCGACGTTGCATTCGCACTTAGCATTTTTTGTCTGCCAGCTGTATATTTGCCATATACGACATCAAGCAGGTGTCATATTGATTCATAGAATTTCGCACCAGCTGTGGACAGCCGCCTCTCTGTTGGTTTTTGTTGAAGGGACATATTTCAGGAGCTCATTGGCAGAGTCAATTAAAAGGGATCTACCCAAAAACACTGAACACTTCGTTTATCAGGCCTGCAAAACCCTCGAGGTGTATCGGCAGACTTGGTAGGAAAGGGCAGCGAGGTCAAATGTCAAGCAGAATAAATATCGAGAGAAATTACCGGGAGAGATAGAGAGATAGATAGACAGGTAGCATTATAGATAGTAGGGGGAGAAGTCACGCAGTTAAATCTCAGCAAAATACTTAACCATTGGCGAACGACCGTGTGAGTCTGTTGGTCTGGTCCCTTGCCTGTGCAGAATGAAAAATTTAAAGGCTAAAAATAAATACCACTTTATTCTTGCGAGTAATATATTTGTTTTAAATCTCAAATTCGATCAGCAGAAGCCTCATGGAGCACTGTATCTCTCCATAGAAACTTACAATCTGAGTAGCTTTAATCAGAAAGGACTAGCAGACGCAAATCACGGAGTTTGAACACAACTTTCCACGCATGTCAGTGCAGTGGGATTTCACGAAATTGTCGAATTATGTAAGGTAGTTGTTGAACAATTAGACTTTTAACTTGTATGAACTCTGTCCTAATAGAAAGGCGACCGAAGTTGGATACGGGCGCAGTTGCTGACACAACTGAACAGTCCGAGCTCCCGCACCACACACGACGTGGTCTCCACTACACTTACTAGGCTTCTGAACGGTCGCCTCGGATCTCAAACAGATGGGGGTGTCATAGAGGTCGCTCCAAGACGAACGCATTTCAGCTTGAATCTCAGCCCCGAAAAAGGATCCGGTCAGATGGAAATCTTCCGAGCCACGGCTCATGGAGCGTGGTGGTAGGTTCGGGCGTGTCATGGTTAATATGGCGAGGAAGGCCCTGATCTGCAGTGGACATTAATTTCTTAGTGTCGGCCTCACGTTCTCATGCACCGTCGGCGGTTGATGGGATCGGTTGACGCGGCGTGAATGCCAACGTCTAGGGCTCTCATGTAGGGCAGTAGTTATAGGCCTGTGCCGTATCTACACAGTCCGATAAACGCGTACCGTGAGCCAGCCTGACCCCGTTTTAATCCGAAGTGTCTTTCATGGGGTAGTCGAAGGTTACTCAACGTTCGGAGTTTCCCCGGAGCCTCTTAATATGCCTAAAACAAGAGATGAAGAAGCACTATGCAATTAGATTGCCCACTTCGTCGTTGAAAATACCCGCGAGTTTGATTTCGCGGCCAGCAAGATAATCGCCAAGCTGGACACGAAACAGGCCGAGAATCGATTTGAGCCTGGGCCTTGGATGAGAACTCAGTCAATCGATTTATCGATCTGGCGCCGGCGTACGGAGCCCTGCGCCGTCATCTTCAGTCTTGCACCATCGATCAATGATTGGCTAGCACGCACTATAATTGTCGCTCATCCTGGTGTTGCTATTATCTTTGATGATGGACTCCAGCACGAGTTCGAAAGCTCAGGACAATAAGCAGACTGTTCCGGCTCTCGACCAGTCCTCTTTTTTTCCTATACATACGCCTGGAACTCGAACTGTCGCCCTCACTATCTAAACCGTCCGTAAACATCTTGCGGCATAATTGTGGCTGAAGATGAAGTGCGTCTGCTCTGCCCGCGTGACAACCGCGAAACCGTTGCAAGTGGGATGCAGTTTGAGTTTTGCGAACGCTACCTCATCCCCTTCTGTCAACTCACAACCCCTTCCAACGCGTCGCAACCTCGACACAAGTTCCAGGTTCGCCTTGAGATCATACATGAATTGTTTGGTCACCTCAGATAAGCCCTGCCACATTCAGTCCCATTCAGGCCGAGACGACTTGACTTCTGCGTGTTCTGTAGTTGCTACAGTAAGCGGGCTAACCCATTAAATCTCAACAGAAATTCCGAAATACGTTTCCGTTTCGAAAAGATCAATTATGTAGGGTTGTAAAACCAATCATCCTGCAGCGTAATTCTATAATAATTCAGTTACTTCAGGACGCCGGCTTTCGAACAAACTTCTTTTTGGCTGCATCCAAAAAACGCACTCCGCAAAAAAATGACTACTTATGTAGCATTCATTTTTCATTGATTCATTCTTTTGCTCTTTCAGTAGAAAATTACGTCTTCTTTTAATTTTACATTCGAAGGAAGTGTATAATTTGGTTTTCTAAAACTTTTCCAATTCCCGACTAATTTTGAACCCTGACCTGCCGTTACAATTACATTCAGGGTTCCCAAACTACAAGCCGTATAATTTCCACGTACGGAAGACCATACATTTCTCTTCGGTAATAAAGGGGGACCA